TTTTTAAGTGCTAATAATGTGATGAAAAATGTTAAGGTTTTTTGTTGTGAAATTAGTAGTAGTAGTAGGAGTAGCAGGAGGAGGAGGAAGAGTTATTAAACAAAATAAAACTTTGATTGAATTTAATTAATTTATAAAAATAAATAAAATAAAATGATGATAAAGTTGACATTCGTTTTATCAATCGGAGTGTTAATTATTTCAGTGGTCGATGTTGTTAAATTAAAATCATCCAAATTGGACGGTACGGAGGGAGGAATTAAAATACTAGAAAAATGTTCAAAAACGGAAGAAATCAATTTGAACGTGGTGGAGGATATGTGTTTACCGGAAGAACAACCTCCCCATCCCCACGACCACCAACAGCGACAGAGACAGGAAGAAACGAGCGAATTTAAAATTAAAAAAAATTTCCAATCGGAACATGGTCGGTATGAATACATTTGGAAAGGGTTGATTTCTTTAAGAATTTTATGAAAATTTACAAATATATGTGATTTCACTTTTTAGGGGTCATGGAGAAAGAAAGGGAAATTTGTCACGTCGGAAATAACGTCGAAAATATCGAATCAACGAATGAAATTTTCAATTCCGGTTCCTCAACTTCGACGACGACCATTTCCGGTCACGAGTTTACGGAAACGAGAAAATCAGAAGAGATAAAGAAAAATTTAAATTGGATGAGATGGACTGAATATAGTCCTTACGCCAAAGATATTATTAAAAACAGTGAGTATCGTAAAACCCGAGAGGAAGAGAGAGAGAGAGAGAGAGGGAAGAAGGAAGAGAAAGAGAGAGAGTGAGAGGGAAAGGGAGAGAGACGGAGAGAAAGGGTACGTTGTCGCGCACTCACTCACACACACACACGCGCGCCCGTATTTATATTATTATTAATATGTACGTATTTATTTAAGTGACGAATAATAATAATAATAATAATAATAATAATAACCTTGAAAAATGATCTTGGCACGTTTCAAGTCTCGGTGATATCGAACGTTTGCTCTTTGCCTTAAACTTTTATTTTTTATTTTTATTTTTATTTTTTTGAACATTTGGACGAACAAAAAAAAGGGGCCCCGATTTGACCCGATTGTAACCTTCAAGGAAAGTTAAAAAAAAAAAAAAAGTGTGTCGTCAGGTCGAATGAAATCGTGAAAAACGTTTAAATGATAACGATAACAACGTCGTAACCCTGTCCACGTTTTATTTTAGATAAATGGGAATCGATACAAGACGAAT